GGCTGAATCTGCATTTTAATAAACACCACAGGGGAGTCTAATTCAGGTGGACCAGCAACCACCTGGAGAACTACAACACACTAAATAAAGTATGCTTAGCAATCGAACCAAAATGAGCATAATGTGGCATTTTAAGATCCTACACTGTCAAACTGGTCGATTTGAACATAAAATACTATTGTATAGAACTGTGAAAAAAGTTCAGGTTATTTGGAACCCTGCTGTTTTGGACTCTAGTTAAATGTATTAACAATGTATGAGAAGTTAAATTTCAAAACAGGCAAATTAGGGAGCAATTATTAGATTAAAAGAAGACTTACCATACAATTCATTTAAATATTGAGAGCTCAGGCATTTTAAAATATAATAGCATTTGCATAACTCTAAGTTATGTGAAACTTTCATGGGACATATTTATTTTGCCAAAAGACACACCCTTGTACAATGAGGTGCATTATAATAGAGTGTTAGCTACTCTACCTGAGCTGGAATGTGGTATCATCACCCTAAGACACAAATGTACACATGCATCTCTTAAAATATGCTCATCTATATAGGCTGAATTTTACAATTTAAAAAAAATTAAAACCCCCAAAGAAAGACAAACCAGTTTAGCATTTTTACTTTCCTAGACCATTTAAGACATAGTCTATTCCAAAAGAGTTCCAGTGAGCTTTTTACTCTGGAGGCCTAAAAAAACAAGAGCCTGTGTGGTATGAAGTGAAAAAGGCATGGGAGAGAACCTGCTCCTTTGCTGTAATTCTCTAACTTTAGATCCAGAAGACAGAGGCCTCGAAATGTGTTTCCCAAGCAACCCACAAGATGGAGTTGGCCACCTGGTCAGTAAGGAAGGAAGGCCTTTCATTCTCGAACCCTCTCCCCAGCTGTTGTACTGATAGGGCCCACACCAGCCTGGGTTTTCTTTCAGGAAAGAAACCAAGAGTTTCTTCCCCATTTCCCTGGGGGATATGGGGTCAGTTAATTGAAAATTATATCAGGAGACACGGACAACAGGGATCATTCAAAATAATCAGCCCAGAAGCCTTCTTTAGGCCAGTGTGATTTGAGTTTCACAGGTAAATACCCTTGATAAATCCAACTAAGTTGTTTTTGTGGGGTTTTTAAAATTTTATCTTTATTGTTGAAAGTATTACAGGTGTCCCATTCCCCCCCCCCAATTGGCCCCCTCCACTTCACTCCCACCTCTTCCCCAGGCCCTCACCCCATCATTGGCTGTGTCCATGGGTTATGCATATATGCATATAACTTCTTTGGTCAATCTCTTCCTACCCTCCACACCCTTTCCCTCTTTCCTCTGAAATATGATCGTCTGTTGCATGTGTCAATGTCTCTGGATCTATTTAGTTCGTCAGATTCTTTTGTTCATTAGCTTCTTCTTAAAGATCTTTCAACATTTCCTGTAGTGCTGGTCTGGGGATAATGAACTCCTTTAGCTTTTCCTTGTCTGAGAAGATCTTTATCTGACCTTCAATTCTAAATGATAGCTTTGCTGGGTAGAGCAATCTTAGTTTTAGTTCCATGTTTTTCATCACTTTGAATATTTCTTGCTACCCCCTTATGGCCTGTAAGATTTTCGTTGAGAAATCAGCTGACAGTCGTATGGGTGCTCCCTTGTAGGTAACTAACTGCTTTCTCTTGCTGCTTTTAAGATT